ATTCCTGCCCCCAGGCAGATGCCCATAGTTCCACCTAATTACTGGGAAAACCATACTACTTTCATTTCCAAATGCCCTCTGAGGCAGAGTACCACCCTGATGGAGAAGTGCTGCTTACAGATAAGTTATTCTGGAAAACTTGTGAAGGACATGCAGGTAAATATCTAAAGCGTCTGTGCTGATGAATCAGACTTGACATGTCTAAGTAACAAAGTAATACTGTGAATTATGAGACCTTTAGTAGTCTTCGAAATATTAGTTTTCCTCACATTGTACTTCAGTTGCCTCACTTTGAGTCGTCAAAATTCATACCAAAAGAAGAAGTCATGATAAATGAATGTTTTTCATTTTATATTGTAAGTATAAAAAATAGAACAAGAAAAAGGAGGTTGTTTGCTAATTTGGAAGTTGTATAACTGTTCCTGGTAGTTAGAGATCATAGACAATCATACTTAAAAAGCTAATGGGTAAATCTGTTTGCCCAGCCACATTCACTTAGGTAGCATTTGTGTGCCAATTCTAGGCAAAGTTATAAATCATTTACAATTTATTCTTTCTTTCAATTTGCTACCCTGTTTTGTGAGTGCAGGTGGTGGGATGGGCAGGAAAACAAATTTAGGAGAACCATTTTTGAATTTTTAAATAAATCTCTTACTCCTTGCAATCAATAACTTGAAATGATATGTCATATTTCATTGTTGATTGTAAAATGCACCAGTATTTTACTTATTTAAGTCACTAAGACAGAAAGAAATGCCGCCAATTAAACTGACTCACCATCAATTGTAAGATGCTTCTCAACTTCAGAGAGAGATGTTAAAATGTGTAAAAATGTGCCTCTTAGAATCAGGGATACAATATCTAGAAAACTTTTCTCAGTTCTACTAGTAGTATCATTCTTTTATTTTTAAAAAGTTTTACTCAACATAATTTGACGTTTTCCGCCCTTTTTTTCCTTTAGCTTTCTTGTAAACTGGAGCGGGAATTTCGTTGTGTGGAACTTGCTGATCTAATGACTCAAAATGCTGTGAATTTAGCCATTAAGTATGCTTCTCGTTCTCGGAGATTAATATTGGCCCAGAGACTTAGTGAACTGGCTGTAGAGAAAGCAGCGGAATCGGCAGCCGCCCAAGCTAAAGAAGAGGAAGAAGAAGAGGATTTCAGAAAAAAGTTGAACGTTGGGTAAGAAATGTTTGAGTTTTACCATCCTGAATGTTGACTTGGTCTTTTTATAGCCCTTTATTGAATAATATCATTGCCTTTTAGTTACAGTAATACTCCTACAGAGTGGAGTCAGCCAAGGCTCAGAAATCAAGTTGAAGAAGATTCAGAGGATACCGGAGAAGCTGATGATACAGAAGAAAAACCAGAAATACATCAACATGGTAAGGTAACGTTTTTAAGGCAGTTTAAAGATGAGATGTGTCATGTGTGTGACTTCTCCCCTTTTACTTGGCTGAGGGAAATTGAATACCCATACTTGTTCAAGACATCTTTCCTGTCTGATTGTTGATTACAGAAGATGACTTTATCTTCCCATTTTCATTGTATTGTTTTATCTTAATGATTCTGTAGGAGAAAACCCATTTTTCAAAAGTGTGAATTCCTCTGATATGCCAGCTATTAAGTCAGGTAAGAAAATTTGGATTTTGTAAAAATATCGAGAAAATTTTGAAGTAGTCTCTACAGTGATACATCTACTCAAATACACCTCACTCTTCAGGACCTGTTTTGTTGTTGTTGTTTTTAATCAGAAATGTTTGTGAAACAGTGGTCATTTAACAAATACTTATTAAATGCCTATTTTGTGTCTAGTATTTGCCTGGGGTGGGGGGCTACAGTGGTCAAGTAGACATGCATGTTTGATCCCTGCATAAACCTTACAGTACCAGCTGGCTTTTAAAAGTATACATATATATATGTTTGATTTTAATATACTTTTACATGTATACAGATTATTAAAAGAGCATATAACAGGTGGCTGTAATCTAGTCAGTGGTGGGGGATGGTTTGGGACCCCAAGGAAGGCCTCATGGAATGTTTATTTATTTTATTTTATTTTATTTATTTATTTATTTTTGTGGTAAGTGGGCCTCTCACTGTCGTGGCCTCTCCCGTTGCGGAGCACAGGCTCTGGACGCACAGGCTCAGCGGCCATGGCTCATGGGCATAGCTGTTCCGCGGCATGTGGGATCTTCCCGGTCCGGGGCACAAACCCGTGTTCCCTGCATTGGCAGGTGGACTCTCAACCACTGCGCCACCAGGGACTCCCTATTTTATTTTTTAAATTTATTTTTGGCTGCATTGGGTCTTCATCGCTACACGCGGGCTTTCTCTAGTTGCGGCGAGCGGGGCTGCTCTTCGTTGTGGTCCTCGGGCTTCTTATTGCGGTGGCTTCTCTTGTTGCGGAGCATGGGCTCTAGGCCCGTGGGCTTCAGTAGATGTGGCACGCGGGCTTAGTAGTTGTGGCTTGCAGGCTGTAGAGCGCAGGCTCAGTAGTTGTGCCCCCCGGGCTTAGTTGCTCTGCAGCATGCAGGATCTTCCCAGACCAGGGCTCGAACCCATGTCCCCTGCCTTGGCAGGCGGATTCTTAACCACTGTGCCACCAGGGAAGCCACCACTTGGAGTGTTTAAAGCAGAGATCTAAAGGATGAATGAGTCAGCCAGGCAAAGGTGGGTGGGAGCAGAAGCAGAAGAAAAGCATGTGGGCTTAAGGAACAGCATGTGTGAAGACTATAAGAGAGGCTTGAAGAGCACAGAGAGCAAAGAGAAAGTGGTGCTGAATGGTTTTGGAGCAGTGAGCAGGAACCAAACCTTGCGGATCCATGTAGGCCGTGGTAGGATTTGGATCTTTATTCTGAGGTTGCTGGGAGGCTGTTGTAGGTTTTAATCAGGGGCAGAGTATGGCACACTGTGAAGAGGAGGACTGCATATAAGGAGACTTCTGAGGTAGTCCCAAGTGAGATTGAATAGACTGGGGTGGTGGTGATTGCTGGTAGAAAGCATGGGAGGAATTGAAGAGGTGTTTCTGAAGATGATATAGAGAGTATGGAAGTTCAGGGTGTGAAGAATAACTCAGTTTCTGGCTTGAGTACTTGAGTGAATGATGGTGCCATTTACTGAGTCAGGAAACACTAGGGAAACGTAGGTTTAGATAGGAGGACGATGAATTACTATTGGCTGTTTGGGTCAGGAGCTCAGGCAAGTATTCTCTCTGGGATGGAGATATAAAGTGAAAATTGTTGACATAAGTATAGCAGTTTAAACCATGGGTATGGGTGAGTGAGCACTGGGGGAGGATCAAAGTGAGGAGAAAAATGAGGTTAGGCCTAGAGAGGAGGACGACGAACCATCAAAAGAAAGTGAGGAAGGAGGTAAGCCAGGGAATGCAGTATCTCAGAAGTCAAAGGGGAGATAGTATCAAGAAGAAAGGAACACTCCGCTATGTGGAATGCTGTTGAGAGGTCAAACAAGGTGATGGCTGGAAAGGATCCACCAGTTTTGGCTGCATAGGATTGACTGAGTTCTTAGCAAGAGCAGATTCTGCAGAGTGGTAGGGCTGGAAGCCGTGTATTGGATGGAGGAACATGTGAATAGTGAGGAAATGGGAATAGCTGTGTGGACAGCTCTTGAGAAATTTGGCTGCTTAGGGGAGGTGAGAGAAAATTATGAGCGGGGCGAGAAGGGGATGTGGCAGAGAGCGTGTTTGGTTTTTGTTTGTTTCTTTAAGTTGGGAAACTTGAGCCAATAAAGAAGGAAAAGTCAAAGATGACACATGTAGCCATTGATAGCACAAGTTTCTTGAAAAGCAGGAGTGGGTGGGATCTAGAGCATTTGTAGAGGAATTATTAACTAGGTAAAGTAAGGCACCATTCTTCCCTGGTAACAGGAGAAAAGAAGAGATCTCTACATATTGTATCTGTCTATTTCATAGTGGCAAATTGGGATAGTTCCCATCATCTAATAGCTTTTGTTTTGTCTTAGAAATAGGAAGGAGGTCATATATAATTATTAATAGTTTTAAAGTTGCAAAGTACATTATTTTCATATAATACAGATTAAAATATTCCATAATTCTTATAGAAGTCATAAGTCTTCTGAGTTTTACCACTATTAAGTGAGGATTTCTTTCTTATGAAAGGTGCAGTTACCTCTAGCAACCAAGGACGAATAAACCCCTTCAAGGTAAACTCTTTCCAGTGATGTTTTCTATTATTTAAATACATTTCCATACAGAGAAATATTTCCAAACTACCAGATGACCCTCCCCAGACTTAAGAGGCATTAAAGACTGCAACAGATTAAATTTTAAAATATTTAAATAAGTAAATATTTTAAAATAAACAAAGATGAAAGCAGCACTAGTTCCTGCTTGGACATTTTCTACTTATCTTCTGAGAACCTACAGTTTTGAAGGTTTTCAGAACTTGGGGATGTGGTATTTGGGAATATGCGCATCAGTCTTAATTTGGATTATACCAAATGTATTCAGTTCTGAAGGTGAGACTACAATACAAACTTAACAGAAATTTAAAGGAAAAATAAATCTCTTGGCATTTTTTTTTCTTCTTTAAACATTAAATGCTAATATTAGTTTGCTTTGTAGGTATCAGGCAATTCCAAAGAGCCATCCATTTCAGTGAATTCAGTACGTTCAGCTAATATTTTAGACAATATGAACAAATCATCCAAGAAATCTACTGCACTTAATCGAGCTACAAATTATGAAAAGTCTCCAGTTATAAAGCCTCTGGTTCCAAAGCCAAAGTCTAAGCAGGTATGATTTCACCTGCCCCCATCTGCAGTACACAACTCATAGTCTGTTTGTCTTACTTTAGTTTTGTTCACTCTTTCAGGTATGAGACAGGAGGCTCCAGTTGTTTATAAGTGATTGTCTAGTGAGGGCAATGGTTCTCAATTCTGGTTTTGCATCAGAATCACTTTTTAAAAATATGTAGACCCAGGACAGGGACTCATGCATCTATCTGTATCTTTTTTCATTTTTCCAAATGGTTCTGATGCATGTCCCTATTTAATGACAGCTGGTTTAGTACCTAGCCCTAATCTTTCCTTGTTCTGTATTCTGATTTTGCCTCCCAGATTTTGTCCCAGTTTTGGTATTTTATCACAGATTTGTCATCAGTAAAATAGACCTATCATTTGTATTTTCCATTTCATATAATTTTATTCATCTAGAATACATGAAATTTGAGGTACAGTTTTTTGGGGTTTTGTGTGTGTGTTTATACATGTTTATTTTCAACAGAGAACCTCTCGGGACTTCACATGTTGGTGTAAGAATTCTAAATAATTATAAATATTTCTCCACGTTTTTCAAAATTTGCTTGTAACATATAAAATCATACTAGATTTTGTTGCGGTATTCATTAGGTTTGTTTTTACAGGCATCTGCAGCATCCTTTTTCCGGAAAAGAACTTCCCAGGCTGATAGGACTGAGGAAGTAAAAGAAGAAAATCCTAAAAATCCATCATCTGAAACCCCAGCTATGTGTCCTCAAAAGACTGAAAATCAAAGGTCAGTACATAGAGAAATTTAGTGTTCTCAAGATGTAGTATTCCAATAAAAGGCATACAGAAGTAGCAATACAAAATTATGTGACCCTATTATTCATTCATGTAAAGAATACATTGGCACAGGTAGTAGGCATTCTGAACACTTGTAACTTTAGGGAAGCCACAAATATTGATTAATGTCTATATAACTTATTAAAGTACGCTTTGATAAACTACATACATGTTTTAAATTGTGGATACGTTTTGCTGGGACACTATATTTTATAATTAGTTCATTTTTTCATTTGTTTGTTTTTAAATCGTTAGTATAGTTACATGGGAGAAACACAGTCAAAAGATAGAAAAAGATGTGTGATGAAGAGTAAATCTTTTCCCTACCCACCCAGTTTCCCCTCCACAAATAGTCACTGCACAAGTTTCTTATATAGCCTTCTGGAATTATCCTATGCACGTACACTTAGATTTATCTGTTTCTTTTTAGTTTTACAGAAATGGTAGTATACTCATTGTTTTGTGCCTTATTTTTTTTCATTTAATAGCTTTTGTAGATGATTTCTTATTACTGCATGAAGAGTTTCTTTAATCTTTTTACTTCCATTGAATGGCTATACCATAATTTATTTAGTTCTCTACTGGTGGACAAAAGGTAGTTGCTGGTCTTTTGCTAGTACAAATAGTAGTACAGTGAATAACTTTATATGAATATTATATACCTATAGCTGTAAGATGGATTCCTGTATGGTTCAAGCTAATGTACAATTGTAATTTCGATAGATATTGCAAAATTGTTCTGCATGGATGTTGTATTATTTTACACACCCTCAACAATATGAGAGTTCCTATTTGTCCATATCCTGTTTGTCCACCAACTCAGTGTTACCAAATTTCTTGATCTCTTGTATGCTAGATTTATTTAAAATACATCAGCTAGGGCTTCCCTGGTGGCGCAGTGGTTGAGAGTCTGCCTGCCAATGTAGGGGACACGGGTTTGTGCCCCGGTCCGGGAAGATCCCACATGCCGTGGAGCGGCTGGGCCCGTGAGCCATGGCCACTGAGCCTGCGCGTCCGGAGCCTGTGCTCCGCAAGGGGAGAGGCCGCAACAGTGAGAGGCCCGCGTAGCACAAAAAAATAAATAAAATAAAATAAAATACATCAGCTAAATTGAAAAAGTCACCATTTCATTTTTAGTGTTATGTATCTCATTTAACCAATATCTCATGTTAACCAATTTAATTTGAAGGGATAGCTGTGGTTTTTATTTTTCCTATTTTCTTCTGAATTTAATTTAGATATTAAACTGAAATTTTTATTTAAGAAGATTCCATTTTTTATACTATCAACAGGCTATACAGAAAAAAAGTGCTCAGTAAATATTAAATGTTTGCATTAAATCTTCACTTGTGACCTAAAGACAGTTTGTGTCGGAACTGAAATCTAATGAAACTGACAAGTATGCTGTGTCCATGCTTTACATAATAATGGTACAAGAAAGGACCCACACTCCCAGGTCAGCTGTGAGGGCAGGGGTGAGGAGCTTGAGAGAAGTCGTGATGATTTCAAATAGCTGGTTTGGGAAATGGAGAAAGGCTATCAAAGATACACGGAAGGGGGCTTCCCTGGTGGCGCAGTGGTTGAGAGTCCGCCTGCCAATGCAGGGGACACGGGTTCGTGCCCTGGTCCGGGAAGATCCCACATGCCGCGGAGCAGCTGGGCCCGTGAGCAATGGCCGCTGAGCCTGCGCGTCCGGAGCCTGTGCTCTGCAACGGGAGAGGCCACAACAGTGAGAGGCCCGCATACCACAAAAAAAAAAAAAAAAAAAAAAAAAAAAAGATACATGGAAGGGTTATATTGGGCTAGAGGGCCTAAGTAGGATTGGAGACCTTGAGCCTGTCAACATTCATAAGAGTTGAAAGTTCAGAGTTTTGCTGCACTTGGAAAATACAAATGTGAGTAATCCCTTTGAATTGATCTTATAAAGGATTTTTTCGGCTCATTATTCCTGCAGTCTCTAGGCAGTTTTAAGTAATATGTAATTATGAATATTAACAAGTGTAATAAACTATGTCTCTCTTACTTTATATATAGGTATGCTAATGGTTAATCACTAACCTGAAAAATCATGAAGCACTTTAAGACTGTCTTAATTATAAAATTTTTTTATATAACTGCTATTTTAGGCCAAAGACCGGGTTCCAGATGTGGCTGGAAGAAAACAGATGTAATATTTTGTCTGACAACCCTGACTTTTCAGATGAAGCAGACATAATAAAAGAAGGAATGGTTCGATTTAGAGTATTGTCGACTGAAGAAAGGAAGGTAAGTAAGGATAATTGTACTGAGATTGAGATTTTAGTGAATTCCCAGGGTTTTTTTTTTTTTTTTGGTCGGGGGGGTATAGTTGTTTTACAATGTTGTGTTAGTTTCTACTCTACAGCGAAGTGGAGTTCCCTGTGCTATACAGCAAATTCTTATTAGTTATCTATCTTATACATATTAGTGTATATATATCAATCCCAATCTCCCAATTCATCCCCCCGCCCTCACTTTCCCCCCTTGCTGTCCATACATTTGTTCTCTACATCTGTGTCTCTATTTCTGCCTTGCACACTAGTTCATCTGTACCATTTTTCCAGGTTCCATATACATGTGTTAATATACGATATTTGTTCTTCTTTTTCTGACTTACTTCACTCTGTATGACAATCTCTAGGTCCATCCACGTCTCTATAAATGACGCAATTTCATTCGTTTTTATGGTTGAGTAATATTCCATTGTATATAGGTACCACATCTTCTTTATCCATTCCTCAGTTGATGGGCATTTAGATTGCTTCCATGACCTGGCTATTGTAAATAGTGCTGTAGTGGACATTGGGGTGCATGTGTCTATTTGAATTATGGTTTTCTCTGGGTATATGCCCAGTAGTGGGATTGCTGGGTCATATGGTAATTCTATTTTTAGTTTTTTAAGGAACCTCCATACTGTTCTCCATAGTGGCTGTATCAGTTTACATTCCCACCAACAGTGCAAGAGGGTTCCCTTTTCTCCACGCCCTCTCTGGCATTTGTTGTTTATAGATTTTCTGATGATGCCCATTCTAACCTGTGTGAGGTGATACATCATTGTAGCTTTGATTTGCATTTCTCTAATAATTAGTGATGTTGAGCAGCTTTTCATGTGCTTCTTGGCCATCTGTATGTCTTCTTTGGAGAAATGTCTATTTAGGTCTTCTGCCCATTTTTTGATTGGGTTGTTTGTTTTTTTGTTATTGAGTTGCATGAACTGTTTATATATTTTGGAGATTAATACTTTGATTGTCTGTTGATTCATTTGCAAATATTTTCTCCCATTCCGAGGATTGTCTTTTTGTCTTGTTTATAGTGTCCTTTGCTGTACAAAAGCTTTTAAGTTTCATTAGGTCCCATTTGTAAGGATAATTGTACTGAGATGGGGACTTTAGTGAATTCTCAGGTTTTAAAAATTCTTAAAGAAAGTGCCTTTTTCTGTTTTTAGAAATTGAATACATTCTGATAAACTCTTGGTGGAGAGGAAATACAACAAGCAAAATTTTTGTCAGCTTTGAACCTATGGATATGTAATAATTATTATTTAGTGCTGATGGTTAATTTTTTGGCGTATGTACTGCTTACATCTGTATAAGTTTCTGCATATTGTAAGTTAGGGAATACCCCAAGAAAAAGTGCATTACTTATCAAAAGCAAAAAAGATTAATAAGTAAAAATGAAATTAATTCACATTTTTGGACTACTACTCTAAAGTCCTTGTAAGCAGAATTTCTTAAAATGCTATTTACTTACACATTGAATACTAAATGAGAATACTGCTTTGGGGGGAAAAATCTGATGTTCTGTTCTAGCCTTTCATTTGGAAATTAGGACAGGTGGCTTGTACCTATTGCTCCTCATGTCAGTTTCTGCCATGTGAAAGAAAGCAAAGAGCAGCTCTCATTTGCAAGGGGAAGGATTGTGTGTGTTGTATCAATAAATCTCAGACTTCCCTTCCTTAGGAATGACTGCGTGCAGCATGGGCACCTTGTGACATAGTTACTTACCTTGATAAGCTTGTTTTTACGAATAAAAGTATTGCAAAATGAGGAAGCTAGAAACTGGTCTTACCACCTCTAGCCTCCTTTAGAATCTCATTAGCATCTTTGTATTTCTCATTTTTTATAAGTATTTATAAAAGGATAAAAATTGTAAAGAATTAGATAAAATGACATCTGAATGTCTGAATAAGACCTTATTAGGAAAAGAGGAAGAAAGAGACTTGGCAAAAGTTGTGATTGTGTTTTTGAATACTTAAAAATGTAATCAGTATTTTTAGTGTAAACCTTAAACATTTCTTAAATCCAGTCTGTTAATGTGAAAAATACTACAGGTCAAATGGTCCCTTTTCAACAACAACGACTAGGAAGGAAAATAAAATAGGAGGAGGAGGAATTGTTGTAGATTAAGAGGTTTAAGAGGTAAATGAAATGAGTGAAGCTTGTTAGGTTCTTGCTTAGTGAGTAGAAACCAATCCCAAAAGAGTGTATACTGTATATAACGTTCCTGATATGACAAAGTGATGGGGATGAAGAACAGAGAACTGATTGCCTGGGAGAGGAGTGGGGTGGGGCAACATGTGGGATCCTCATGCTTATGGAACTACTGTTCTATATCCTGAATGTGGTGGTAAATACACAGCCTACAATAGAATTATACACACACACACAAACAAGTAGAAATAAAAAAGGGGATTTTATCAATGTCAATATCCTAGTTGTAATAGCGCACTACAGTTTTGCAAGATGCAACCATTGAGGGAAACTGAGTAAAGGGAACACGGTGGCTTTCTGTATTATTTCCTACAACTGCATGGAAATCTATAATAATCTTAAAAGGTTTTCTTTTTAAAAAAGTACCTGCAGTTATAGTGTTTTTCACTTAATATGGTTAAATACAAGCAGAGTTTAGATTGAAATATTATAGAGGTAGAATGTAAATTTTTTAACGTGCCCTGCAATTAAGTAATAAAAGCTTTGTTTAAAAAAAAAAAGAACGCTTAATGATTAGTTTAACAATTCAAGTGCTAATTATGCTGCTTTACATAAAGGAATGTTGCCTGCAAAAGTAACGAAATCATGTCCTTCCTATTTCTTTGTTAGTGCCTAAAAACTTTTCTCCTGCAATATTTTTATAAAGGCATGGGCTGCCAAGGCCAAAGGAGGAACTGCAAGTGATGGAGCTGAAGAAAAGAAACGAAAACGTGTGTTCGATGATAGTCACGAAACTGAAAACCAGAAAGAAAAAACGAAGGAGAATCTGAATTTGCCTAAAAAGCAAAAGGCTTTAGATCTTTCTACGAATCAGAAACTGTCAGCTTTTGCATTTAATCAGGAATAGAGTAAGGAAGTGTACTTAGGAAAGTAATGGATTTTTTACTCATCTTTGATGAATCTAGACCTTTAAAAAAAATCTTTAGGAAACTCTTTATATATTTTTTAAAGAGTTTAAAGACTGCTGTTTGTCTTTATAAGATACTGTAGTAATTATATTGGTGTAGGTAGCAGGGCATCTGTAAAAACTATCATCTTTTCAGATTGCTCTGCCCCCAAATGGAGGGCCATTCAGAAGCATTGTGGTCATGGTCACTGACTGGAGGCCACTGTCATGTCCCATTGGAAGCTGATCTGGTTTTGTTTCTTACCTTAAAAATCATCAAAGCCAAGGTCTTAAAACCTCTGAACATTGAAGTACCTTGCAGGGTTTTCCTTGTTTGGTTCATGTCGTGTACTGGGAAGTACTACAGAAGTCCTTCCCAGAGACTCTGCTCTCTATGTCTATACTGGCCCCAGGGGACTGGGCCCTAAACATGTAAATAATTTTGTAGATGAGACCTTTTGTTTGTTTTGGCAGTTTCTTCATATATTACCTTTAATTATTTGTGTAGCCTTTTTATTTTTTAAAATAAAACTTTCCCATTTCCATATTTAGCTTGATATGGTCTTCACATTGTATTTCCATGAAATGGAAGTGTTTCTAGAAAATATATTTTATATTTATTACCGTAATTTCTACCACTCCCCATCCTATTACACAGTATACACACAGAAGAGAATTGAAGATACTGTTTTGATAGCATTGCAGCCCAGCGCATAATGTGCTCCTCGTAAGCCACCTGGTTATCAGCATCAGCAGTGCTTTTCTGAGCAAGTCTTTGAAGCCTTGATAAGAGAGTGGTTGAAGAGTAATGGGAAGTGTTTAACTCCTCTTTTATTTTGAACAAACAAGATTTAATTAAGTAGTTCATACATTTTTTGGTTAGTATTCTAAGCAGAACTTAATACAAATGCAGCCACTTAATGAGGGCAAAGTACAAGGGGTGGGGTTGGGGTAGGGGGATAGTAGTAAAATAAAATCAGGTGGCTCAAAATCTAGGGTAGTTTTATAGGTTGGAAGGAACAAAATATGTTGAAAATTTAGATGTATAGGAGCCAAAGGATATTCCTTGTCTCATGATGATTAAGGTTGCGAAGGAATACATTTCTGATTTTTTAGTTAGTAGTTGGTATTGAGAAACATTGTAGCATAGAGGTTAGGAGCACAGATTTCAAAGCCAGACTACCTGGGCTCAAAGGACCACTGCAATACTGCCAGCTAAATAACCTTGGGTAAGTTCTAGCCTTTGTCCACTCATCTGTAAAATGGGTATATTAATAGTAACTACTTTAGAGGGTTGTTATGAGCATTAAATGGGGTAAAAGCACTTACCTGGCACATAGTAATGTTTTATATACATATCAGCTATTACTATGCTGTTGGCTGGTTCATCTTGCTTTGTCATTAGGTTTGATTCTGAATTAATTATGTATGAATTAATTTTGATTTCAAGATCCTGAAGTAAAAGTTTATTTATATTACTTTGGAAAGCATGTTTATAGACATGTATTTTGTTTTTACTTCCTCAACTTGCTTATTACCACAGTGTATAATACTTAAGGATATAATCCTTGAGTGTTATATTTCAGATCCATAGGAACCTGATAACACCAAGGATTTTCAAAAGGTTTTTTCTTTCTTTTGTTCCTTTGGCCATGCCGTGCGGCATGCAGGATCTTAGTTCCCCGACCAGGGATCGAACCCATACCCCCTGGAGTGGAAGTGTGGAGTCTTAACCACTGGACCACCAGGGAAGTCCCTGCAAAAGGTTTTTTTAATCTCCTACTTTTGTTTGGTTGAAGGAAGGTTTTTGTATTGACCTGGTTTAACTTACAAATCAGAACTTTGAAACCAAGAAATATCATACTTATTCCTTTTCTATATAATATTAAACTTTTTTTAAGAAAAAAAATCTTTGGGACTTCCCTGGTGGTCCAGTGGGCAAGAGTGCACACTCCCAATGCAGGGGGCCTGAGTTCAATCCCTGGTTGGGGAACTGGATCCCACATGCTGCAACTAAGAGTTCACATGCTGCAACTAAAACCTGGCGCAGCCAAATAAATAAATATTAAAAAAAAAATTCCCCCCAAAGTACCCTTTTTAGCCTTTTTCCCCTCAAAATCTAGGATCAATCAAGAATGTTGAATTGGGACTTCCCTGGTGGTTCAGTGGTTAAGAATCCGCCTGCCAATGAAGGGGGCCCATGTTCGAGCCCTGGTCCGGGAGGATCCCACATGCCATGGAGCAACTAAGCCCTTGCACCACAAGTACTGAGCCTGCACTCTAGAGCCCGTGAGCCACAACTACTGAACCTGTATGCTACAGCTACTGAAGCCTGTGCGCCTAGAGCCAGTGCTCCGCAGCAAGAGAAGCCACTGCAATAAGCCTGCACACTGCATCGAAGAGTAGCCCCCACTCGTCACAGCTAGAGAAAGCCTGCGTGCAGCAACAAAGACCGAACGATGAAGACCCAGTGCAGCCAAAAATAAATAAACAAAACAAAATATTTTTTTAAAAAAGAATATTGAATTGTATTTAATTATTAGAAGTATGTACTTTTTAATACAGGAAAGAGTTAGAAAAAACATCATCCCTAATCCTAATATCCAGAGATAACCACTGTTAACATTTTAGTATATGTCATTAGGCTTTTTTCTGTATATATAGTTTTTGTTTGTTTTTTTACATAGGTGTGCAGTCCAAATTCATGCTGAGTAGAGGCGTAAAGGAAAAAACAACTCAAGCCTGCAGTTTAAAGTGTGTCCTTTTGCTTGTAGTGTTCCTATAATTGACACCAATTTCTACCTACTCTGCAGCTGTGTCATAAAGGGCAAAAACGTATGGAGTAGAAAGTAAACATAATGGAATCAGAAAGCCAAAAGTTGGTTCTTTGAAAGACTGATAAATTAGAAAAATATCTGACAAGATTAATCATGATACAAAGAGAAAAGCATGAATAAGTAATACTAGGAACGAAAAGGAAATTATTAACTACAAAAACAGTACAGATTTTTTAAAGGTAAGAGGCTTATGATGGTCAGTTTTATGTGTCAACTGGCTAGGCTACAGATGTTATTCAGTCAAACACTAACCTATGTGTTGCTGTGAAGGTATTTTATACATTGTTTTAAAGTTCATAATCAGTTGACTTTAAGTAGGAGATTATCCTAGGTAGTCTGCGTGGTCCCAGCTCAATCAGTTGAAAGGCCTTAAGAGCGGAACTGATACTTCCCTGAGGGAGAAGATACCACACCTGTAGATCGCAGCTTCCACTCATTCCTTGAGATTTTTCAGCCTGCTTTTCCTGAAGGTCTCCCCTATGGTTTGGGATTTCAGACCTGCCTTCCAGCCTCCATAATCATGTGAGTCAATTTCTTGCAATAAGTCAGTATATATATATTCCTACCGGTTCTGTTTCTCCAGTTGAACACTGACTAATTCAAGACTTTTAAACAGCTTTCTGACAGTAGGTTGGAAAATTCCGATGAAATGAACAAGTTTCTACAAAAAAGACTAAAATACTTAGGAATAAATTTAACAAGTGCAAAACTTATTCTTTGAACTACAAAACATTGTTGAAAGACATACAAGAAGACTCAAATAAATGGAAAGATCCTGTGTTTAGGGAGCAGAAGACTTACTAGTGTTAAGATGCCAATACACCCCAAACTGATCTACAGATTCAGTGCTATCCTATCAAAACCCCAGCTGGCTTCTTTGTAGAAAATGACAAGCTAATCCAGATGTTCATATAGAAAATCAGGGGACTTGGAATAGCCAAAATAATATTGAAAAAGAACAAGTTAGAGGATTCATACTTCCCAATTTAAAAACTACAAAGCTATGTTAATCAAGACAGTGTGGTACTGGCATGAGAATAGACCTACAGATCAATGGAATGGAGAGTCCAGGAATAAACTCTCACACTTAGAGTCAGTTGATTTTTGACAAGGTGCCAGGGCAAGTAAATGGGGAAAGGATAGTCTTTTCCACAAATGGTGCTGGGACAACTGGAAACATGCAAAAGAATGAAGTTGGACCCCTCTCTCACACCATATAAAAAAATTAATCCCAGATGTATCAAGGCATAAATATAAACTAAAACTACAAGTCTTAGAAGAAAACATAGGTGTAAATCTTTGTGACCTTGGACTAAGTAATGGTTTCTTAGGTATAGCACCAGAAGCACAAGCAAAATAGTTGAAGTCAACATCATCAAAATTAAAAATGTTTGTGCTTCAAAGAACACCATCAAGAAAGTGCAAAAAACAAGCCACAGAAAGGGAAAAGTGTTTTGGAAATCATATATCTGATAAGGAACTTGTAACTAAAATGTATCAACAAGTCTTAAAATATATCAACATTTCTCCAAAAGACAATATACAAATGGCCAATCAGCAAATGAAAAGATATTCAATATCCTTAGGCGTCAGGAAAATGCAAATCAGATCACAAAGAGATACAATTTCACGTCCACTAGGATGGCTATAATGAAAAAGATGGACAATAACAAGTGTTGGTGAGGATGTGGAGAAATTGGAACCCTCAGATTTTACTGGTAGGATGTAAAATGGTGGTTTGGCAGTTCTTCAAAAGGTTAAACACAGAGTTATCAAATGACCCAGCATTTCCACAACTAGGTATAAACCCAAGAGTAATAAAAACATGCCCACACAAAAGCTTGTACATGATTGTTCAGAGCACCATTAATCTATAATAGCCAAAAAGTTAAAACAACCCAAATGTCCATCAAGTGATGAATGGATAAACAAAAGGTGGTGTGTCCATACAATGGAATATTATTTGTCAGTAAAAAGAAATGAAGTACTGATACATGTTACAACATGTACAAACCATGAAAACATGCTAAGTGAAAGAAGCCAGTCACAAAAAATATATTTTATACGACTTCATTTCTGTGAAATGTCCAGACTAGGCAAATCTATAGAGACAGAAAGTAGATTCGTAGTTGCCTTGGGCTGGAGGTTAAGAGGAAAGGGTGGGTGGCTGGCTGCTGATCGGTACAGGGTTTCTTTTTGGAGTGACAAAAATATTCCGGAATTGGATAGTGGCAGTGATTGCACAACTCTAAATATACTAAAAACCACTGAATTGTACACTTTAAGCGGGTGAACACATGGTATGTGAATTATGTCTCTATAAAGTTGTTATAAAGGAAACTGAATCAAGGTACAAACTTCCAGTTGCAAAATAAATGAGTCATGGGTATGAAATGTACAGTGTGAAGAATATTGTCAATAATTATGTAATATCTTTAATGATAGATCATGACTAGATTTATGTGATCATTTTGAAATGTATAAAAATATCAAATCACTACACTGTTAATGGGAACCAACAAAGTATTGTAGGTCAATTATACTTCAAAACAAACTTATAGACAAAGAGATCAGTTTGTGGTTACCAGAGGCAGGGGTGGAAGGGAGGGGAATTGGATGAAGACCGTCAAAAGGTACAAACTTCTAGCTGTAAGATACAAATAAGTACTAGGGATGTAAAGTACAACATGATATATATAATTACCACTGCTATATGT